AGTCTTGTCGTCCTGAATGTCGAGTTGTGTATCCGCGATAGTATTAAAGCTATTAAGTCTAACCAAAGTCTGTACGTGTTGTTTGCGTCCTGGTCGCCTGTCATTTCCTATCCCTCCCGTAAGGAATCCTGACACCGTGCTCTCGTCGTGTCTGTGGCTCGCCAAGCGTGGATCATAGAAATCGACGGAAGTAACACCCTTACAAATGTATTTCCTGTAACAAACATAATACTATATAAACAAATCAATCTATTAAAAAAATAGAATTATGTACAATAATTTGTTTTTCAACATGGTTATACAAACATATGTTATAACCGTCGTTAGAATATATGAAAATAACGCTAACATTTATTGATATATTGTCAATTGAAATAATTACTTACTAATACAATAACCTTTACTAGCAATAATGCTTTAACCTTAACTGTTCAACACTTACAATTTTGAAACGTATTTACGACGTCATTAGCCAGTATCCAGTCGTTTAGGAACGCTTCTCCAGTGCAGTATCCAGCAAAATGGCGGCTACTGGCTACTGCACTGAAACGAAATGAATGGGAACGCACCCCGTATATCCTTCAGGGTCGCGTTCGAAAACATCACCTGAATGCCTCGATCCTCCCGAGGATCGTTCGAAAATACTTCGATACCCTCGATGGACTTTCGATTGTTGCGTTCGAAAACACACCCGAACCACTTCGAGAGTGACTATTTCTCCTTACCTCGCTAAGGTAGGGAAAAGAGAGTATCTCGGATAAACGTGAAGCGGGAAAATGGAAAAAGATGTCGTCCAATATAGAAATTAATTTATCGAGGCATCAACTTATTAGAGATCAGGTTAAAGATAAAAAATAACAATTACGCAAAATGGATGCTTGCTTTTGTTGGCTAAAGTGGATATATGTATTTATTTTTACAAATCTTTCAAAATATCCTATATCGATACTTACAAAGTATCCTAACCTAACTCTATACTTAATATTATAATGCCTGTATGTACACTTCAGTTATATCATTTTTATTTTCATAATTCTCAATAGTAGATATATTGCAATTATCAGCTTTTTTTTCTTCTTTACTCATTATTTTTAGGGAATGGATGTAAGTATAACGCTGTTACACTGTTATTGTTACTTTTTATAACTATTATAATGTATTTAATAACGTTGCAATTTTTTATGACTAATAATAATTAACTAAATGCTAAGGTTGAAAAAGTCATTTTCGAAAAGTAATTCGTTACCATTACACATATATTTACAGAAAAAAATTATTCGTTATTTAATATCAGCTCGTTATTTTTACAGTTACTTTTAACGATCTTTACGAGTCACTTTCTTTTTTTAAGTAAGCGACTTTTCCAACCTTACGGTGTCACCATAGAGATATAAGAATAGAGGGAGCGAGTCGTATGCTAGCACGTAAGAGGCGGCGATATAGCGATAGAAAGAGAACGCTGCATAAGGGCCCCTCTGTCTTTGTCTATACGCATATGCGCTTTTGCGCTGCTCATTGTCTATAACGCACTTCTATAACGCATTTAGGTTCTAACCTCTTGAACAGTTTATAAAATATATATTTGAAATGACTTATGACATATAATTTATTATTAAATATATACTTAATTAAATTATGAGGTTAGAAATATTAATATGTACTTACAAGTGAAAACTACGATTGGAAATAGGAGATGCTTCTATTTTGCATATCAAGCATTTTTTTGTCATCTTAGTAATCAATCAAGAGACACTAGCGTCTCGCGCTAATTGTAAAAGATACACAATTGCAGAGATTATAGAGAATATCTCTATGGCAGAGATACACAATTTTCCACGATGTACTACACATGCGCACATAAACAAAGACAGAGGGGCCCTTATGCAGTGTTCTCTTTCTATCGCTATATCGCTCTTTCAGCTCGTTCGCTCCCTCTATTCTTATATCTCTATGCAGGCACCAAAATCCGATTAAGCTAGGGAGTTTTTTGAAATGTACCAAATGAGTACCACTGTTCGATCGGATTGGAAATCCGATCATTTGTCGTAAACACCCTGTCTCAGGGTAGAGTCCTAGATATCAGAGAAGCGCAACCGATGTTCCGCGTCCTGATTAGCTGACTGTCAGCCAATCATGACATTCATTCAGTGGTATTAAAAATGGCTGACTAATAGACGATTGGTGGATTTCATATTTCGTCTGCAAATGACGCCATTTTTAATACTTTTCTTAGTAATTTTGCGATACTGACTTAAGCCGGTTGCGCTTCTCTGATATCTAGGACTCTATTTCAAGGGACCTATTCTGTACACGCTTACCGACAACTGTCGGTGTCATTAGGGTCTGCGCACAATGGAGGAACAGATATTAGATATTAAAATATTAACCTATCAGATACCAGTTACACCGGACTACACAATTCTGATAGGTTAATATTTTAATATCTAATATCTGTTTCTCCATTGTGCGCAGACCCTTAAGTAGCGATGGCCAATAAGAATCGCACTTTTCTCCTAGAACAGTCCATATCATTGGTTATCGCTACTTAACGATACCGACAGTTGTCGGTAAGCGTGTACAGAATAGGCCCCCAGCCCCTGTATTCTGTAACTCGTTAAGGCAGTTAACGACATCGTTGCGCAGATATCTTATGGTATGAAAAGCTGCGCAACGATGTCGTTAACTGCTTAACGAGTTACAGAATAGGGCCTCAGGAGGTAATCGGATTGAGTTGAACGGATCGTGAGAGAGGAACAATTTTGCGATTACATACATTTAAAAAATGTAAATTTTAATTTATTTATTTAAAAAAATAAACAGACTCAAATATATTACGTTAAATAGTATATGTATTTAAATTTAGTATATTATACAAATAACAAGCATTTTTGAGTATTGATTTAAAATATTGATTGCGAGTGAAATTAAAAAGTACAATAACATGCTTGTTTCTAAATATATAATTCAAATTCCATGCTGTCGATAAGATTTCCAATTGCATGTTGTACTAATTAAT